CGTTTCACGTTCTTATGACAGCGTGCACGCTAAAAATGAAGCCTCTGGAGACACTGTGAAAATTTTTTGTGTCGGGTAAAGGGAAATTTCCCATGGAAAATTTGTCATACAATTACAATTATACATTGTTATGCGTATCGACTTAGTATGACGAGGTAAATTGGGAGGTTGTATGTATATGTGCGACATATCTTGTAATTGGCAAATAAAAAAAGATGTCGTACATGTACCGGGTGTAACTGTGAATACGCAGCAGTGTTGCGGGATTGCATACACTGTAAAACGCAGAGTGAACTTTCTTTCCCGAATAGTGCGACGTATAGGCTTCATCGCTCTGCTGTTAGAGCGATTTTTGCGAAATGACTCAACATGAGTCTCCTTCGTAACAGAAAATGTCGCAGAAACGACTCTAAACGAGCTACGTTTGCGAAAATGACTTAAAATGAGTATTATTCGTAACCAAAAATGTCGCGAAAAGTTACTCCAAACGAGCGATGTAATAAATATCGCTCTCCCAAAAGAGTCGTCAAATTGGATTCACAATATCGCTCTATTTGCATCGTATTTGGTCAATCCTTTACTTGTAGTGTACTCAATATGGCCGCAAGGGCCACAGCCCCTTACGGGTGTAAAGAGTAAGCAAACCCGCAGCAGTGTTGCATATTCACAGGTATTCACAGTTACACCCGGTACATACATATTTTTTACAGTGGACTCCTCAAAGAATCTATCGTGAATTTTATTGGCAAAGTCCTTTGTGATTCCCGAGCGCACTCCGTAGTAGTAATAGCTGAATGTTCCGTGAAAAGCCAAGCGCAAATATCTGGTGCAAAAAAGTTGATGAAGACAATTTCACCTGTCAAACATGAAACCTGAGGGCAACTCACAAGAAACTATCCAAAAAGAACGTCCGCCGTACGGACCTTGTCAAGTTCAGCCTCTGCTAGCTCTCATGGCGCCTGGTAGGTAGGCCACATCTTGCTTGCAGTGCATACGGGTGTTGCGGGGTGGCCTACCCTGAGTCTCGCAGGCGCCATGCTCCCGGAATTTGACGAATGAATTTGAAAAAAAAAACGGTCGTACTTTCTGGTCGATTCCCAAAGGCGCTTTGTTTTACGATCTTTACAAATTAAAATCACCCATTAAAAGAGTAAAGCGTATTTTCTTTAAAGGAAAATGAAAAGATACTCGCCTCTTTTTTTTATTTTTTATTGTTAGGAATGTGTGGGCACTAGATTGAGTTGTCAGGCAGCCTTGCTCGGCGGCGAGCAGCTACTCGGCGGAAGAGGAGCCCGGACGACCCATTAGGAAAATCTTATTACCGGGGAGTGTCCTGCACTCCTCCGGGTGCCGTGGCCCGCCCCGCCCCGCCCCACGCCTGGACCCGGTACACGTCCTTGCGTCGCGCCATGCGATAGCGGTACCAATTAGGCTGCGCGGACAATGCACGGACAATTGCTTCGGCAATCGACTCTGAAATCGACGTCTGCCTCAAGTTTGCAGTTATATTTCCCAGAAAAAAAACCAAAGAACACACCGGAAACCTAAGTGTGTGAATGTCTCACACTTGTGTGGTGCGTGTCAACGAAATTCGTATGGAGGCCCAAAAGCGTGAATTTCTGCATGTGCGACATTTACTCGTGTTCTCGGCTTGGTTTAACACATGCATTTTCGGAGTAGACGTGTTCGTAATTGTCTCCTGATTTGGCTTACGGTGAGAGAGCTACGGCCCCTGGTATAGATACGATAATCCCAAAGGCCGGCCGAACGGATTGACTGACTGATGCACCTGCTATCTTATCTGCAGCGCTTTAAAAGTGCGTGGAGCGCGTTGCGGAGAAGGAGGGGGAGGGGCAATTGGCTGCCTTCCACTGTGAAAAATATCGTCATAAATTTACAAAATTTTTTATCAACTCGAATTATAATTTGAGTTGTAAATTTACGAGAGCACATTTTTTTACTCGCCAATGGATTTTAAGTCGTATACGTACTGCATGTATTTTTACGATTACGATTACAAATAGTAATTTTACAACTTGCGGAAAGAAAATTTTCCTGTAACCTTCCTTCTATTTTCCACAGCGTCACGGTCCCTTTTTAGCGCGTTCAAACGGCAGCCGCACAAATAAAACACCCTGTTTTGGCTGTGACACCCGTGTCACATTACATACTACCCGTTCAAAACCCGTTTGTTCATTCAAACAGAAATAGTGACGCAAATTTTCAAAATTGAAAAGTTATTAACTTATAATTTCTCCCGGAGGCTGATTAACCCCGCTCACTTTTGTTTACTCTAAGTATGACAATTTTGTTCCCCAAAAAAGCAGCGACGATGCAAACCCGCCCAAGTGCGCGTGGTTAATCTCCCTGGTATATCTCCAGGATTTGTTTTTAAAATAAGGAGGGATTTACATTTTTTAAGTTTGTTGAAAACGATGCAGATGTTGTTTCGTTTTTGCCTGCATAGATTGCGATGCGCCTTGGGGCCCGGCCTGCCCTGCCCGGGCAGCCTAGCCCAATGTTGTGACCGGCTCTGTGGCGGCGTGGCGCGGCGCGGCGTGCGTGGTGCCGGCGCCCCGGCGCGGCCGCTGCTCCACCCCGCTCAGTGCGCGGCCGAGCGCGGACCTGAGCAGACGAGCAGAGCGGAGCAGCCGGGCAGCGCAGCGCAGAGCGCGCACAGCGGCCGTCCGCCTCGTGGCGAGAGCAGGGCGACAGAGCGTCGCGAGTGAGCCGCAGACGCAGCCAGCGCCCCAAAGGACTTTACCACGGCGCTGAGTCGCCGCCCTCCCCCTGCTTGCCGCCGCTGCCCGGGGCTGCCGGCGGTCGACAGGTTGGTGTTTAAAGGCTGGCTGTCAAGGAGTCGCGCCCGGGCGGCGGGAAAAGGAAAACAAACCCGAGGAGAGCGTGATGACCATTACTTTGTAGAGGGGAGCAGGCCGAGGAATGGAGCGGAACCTCCCCCAAGCAGTGTGGTGTGTTCCCCGAATAGCGCGGGTCGGGCCGGGCCGGCGGGCGGCGCGCGCGCTGCGTTTGGCGGTGTCACTCAGGGGAAGGTGTTGGTGCGCGCCCCGCCCCGCGGACAGAAAGGAGGCCGTTGTTCAGCCACAAACCCCAAACCAAACCGATTCGGCATAACTGTCCACCATCATTATTCTTAACCTTTACCTATATGTTTTATAATGATAGTGCGTGTCATATACTTACAAGCAGCAGTAAAAGTTGCGACGCGACCTGTCAATTCTACAAAATTACGCACTCTTATTCTTGTAAATATACCGCGAGGGGTTGACCACTCATATTAGGAATACTTTTGGAATATTTGGATTACTTTTGGAATATCTGGAATATCTGGAATATTCTTGGAATATTCTTGGAATATTCGGAAATTTTAGGTGGACTATCGGGAAAACTTTTAGTGGAATATCTGGAATATTTTTGGAATATTTTTCAGTGTGCACATGGAATATCCAGGTGATAAACCCCTTTTACCGTTTCATTAAAGTTGGCGTAGCTTTGTACATCTTTCATAGGACTCTTCCCAATTTACAAGAACTGTTCTTGCAAAAAGTGCACGCGCGCCATATTTAAATTTAATCGATTAAATCGTGAAAGTGGAACGGAGCTGGAGCTCACGTCACTTGCGTTTGATTATCTTTTTTTTTTTGTTTTGATCGAATGATTCATGCGCAATATTTCATTTCGATCGACTGATGCCTATCCCGCGGGAGGGCGAACGTAATAGAGAGAGGCTCTGGCGATGGTCCATCGCAGGACCTTTTCGGTGTCGTGTTCATTGATTAGTAATTTATAATGCTCCACCCAGCTGTGGTCCAAAGCAAGGGCACCGAATATGTTTTTAATCCCTCTGTGCGAAATCTGAGCCGCTCTGCGTATGCTCTGCACGCGTTAGTCACACGTATGTGGACTGCCCGGCCCGACAAGGGTATGGCCGTGCGAGCCAGCGCGCCCGCCTCGCCTACCGCCGCCGCTCGCCCTCCCTTCAGAGGGAATTCGCCGAATTATCATACAGTGTTGCAGGACACACCGCCGCCACTTAGTGCGAATTTGAACGGGGCTTATCTCTGGGTGCGTTGTGCATACAGAGCGCCCGCGCCCTGCAGCGCCCGGCCGCCCGCTCGCCCAGAGTGGATTGGATTGAGGAGAGAGAGAGGGGTTTGTCAGCTCGGCCCGTCCGCGAGCAAACTCTCCCATCACACTGGAATATTATACGGGAGATATGCAGTGCTGTAAGGGGCTCGTCTGTATATGGCAGCGCTTTGACGTATAATAAAAACGTTCTGAAAACAACAACTCTGTTCTTGTGTCGCGCGTGTCCTTTCCATATCGCGCGCGCGGCTCTTTATTTTTGGACGAGTGAAGCGGAGCTTAGAACATAAATCGGCTGCCAACCCGTGAAGGTGCGCTGCTGCGCGGTGCGACCGAAGCGACACCTCTGACTCACCTGCGGCCGGCGGGGTCGGTCCCACAGCCTGGCGACGTTCAGCACTAGCAGCACTGCAAATTGAAAAATCGCAGAGCTCAAAATTTTTTTAGCCGAAAAAATTAGTGGTCGTGTTTCGTCCGTCTTTTCAATTAAACTGTCCAATGTTTTTAATCTTCACAAAAACTACCGTGATGTAAATTCTCAATACGATTTTCAATGATGGAATATGTAACTTATCTCCGTCTGAATGGCTGTAGGCGATATGGTAGGTAACGTCCCTCGGCGAGCGGAGAGAGAGAGAGGAGAGGAAGAGAAAAAGAGGCATGTGGGGAGCTGGGCCAGCGGGGCCCTCCTGCGGCCGTCGTGTGCCCCCGGGGTGCAGTTGGGATGAGCGTCACTTACGCCCCTCTTTCACCGGCGTCGTAAACACCTGTCTCATCAAGGCGACGGCACATGATGCGTGTTGTGCGTGGCGCGGCGTGGCGTGGCGCGGCGCGGCGTGGCGTGGCTCTGCCGAGGCGGGGTGGCCCCGAGCTGACGTGGGCGGCGCGGGGGAGACCACAACGACAACATACAGTCAGCTTCATGTTCTGTCTCATTTTTTCCCGTGATGGCGAGCAGCTCGTGGAAGTGGAAGCAGTGGAGGTGTGGGGAATAAACACGGAGCGGGGAGTTAAGTGCGTTGTATTTCATCGAAGCGAGCAGCGCCGCAGCGCCGCCGCGTGGAGGTGAAGTGGCGGGAAGTCTGTCGTTTTAATTGAATTTCGGCACTCTCCCCATTTCCCGTTTTCCCTTTCTCCCCCCCCCCCTCTTTCCTCTCTCTCTCTCCCCCCTCTCCTCTGCTCTCCTCTCCTCTCGCTTTGCTTTCGGATCGTTCGGGAAGTCTTGAAGTGTGCCTCTCCGGCTGCCCGAGACGTGTTTTTGTCGCTAAACTTGAGCGGCCGTTGCAGACAGGTGGCCTCACGCCGCGGCGTTGGGTCGTCCTGAAGTGCCCGTGGCAGCTAGTGGCAGCTGCCAGGCGCGGCGGAGGGCGGGCCCGGCCCGGCCCATGGACTGGCTCGCAGACTGGCTCGCAGACTGGCTCACTGCCTGGCTATCGGGCTCGGACACGAACCGGCCCTCCGCCCAGGAGGCTGTCAGGACCCCCGGCCCGGACCTCACGTGTGAACTCGATAAACGTGTGGCTCTCGTAGTTTTCCCGAGATGCTTGCCCCTCCGCCC